GTCGACCTTAGTCGCTGACTAGACCTTGACCTTGGGAATTCAGCTTGGCGGTGGCATCAAGGCATTAGAACTCGCATTCTTCAGTCCACTCTCGTCTGAAAATTTAAAAAAAAACAACATAATAATAAAAAAAATAAAATAAGTAAAGACAAAGAAAGAGCAAAGAGAAGAAATGTTTTCCTTCAGCTTGGCGTAGCTCATAAAGTGCTCTTGTCAATGGAAATTTATCAGGAATTTATTTAATAAATAGTTGTAAAGGGACGCAATAATACAGTGGAGAATGACTAAGTTCATGCCAGTAGAGAAGTAGTAGAGGCAAAATGACTATTGTTTATAGTTTTATGAAGCATTACCCTAACCCCAACCCACGCCATCATGTGTGATGGTTAGTTACGACGCTGCCATTTTGAAGACGTTAAGTCTCACTTACTGGATAAAAGAAGGTCGACTGGGAGTCTGTGCCTACTCCATTGTCTGCAATACAAGTATACGATCCCATGTGCTCTTCCCAGTTGGGGTTCATGATAACGAGGTCACCGCTATTGGTAATCTGAAGGTGGGGGAAAAAACAACACAAAATATATATTTCAAAACCTTGGACTCTGTTGTCTTAGTGCTGTTAGGCTGATATTTTTAAGCACATATAAAAAAAAAATATCATTTATTTATCATTATCAGTCTCTATATGAGTTTTAATTTTTTTTAAATCATCAATTTTGTTTAACTGATTTGATCAACAATAAATGAGATTGTTTACCTTGTAGCCATCTTCACTGACGATGGGTTTGCCAGAGGCGTCTATCCATGCAATGGATGGTGTGGGGTTGCCCTGAGCACGGCAGTAGAGCTGGGTCACCACGTGATTGTATTCAAATCGGCTCTTGGACCACATGTAGATTCTGGCTGGTTTACCTGACCAAAGGGAGACCAAAAAAAAAAAAAAAGTTCATCAATATGTTCCCAACAAAACGAAATAAATAAAAAAATCTCAACACCGCTCTCCACAACGCTCTGCTGAACTCTACTAGAAAAGTGATGCAACACAAATGAAGTCTGTGAGCAACAATTGCTTACCTCTGCTGTTTTTGCTTCCACATTTTCGACTTTCACCTGGAAGGTCATCAAAGGAAGAACCCCCTGCAACATCAAATATATTTTTAAAATTTATTTTTGAAGAATATTTTACATTGCATGATTATCTATCTTGCACAAGGAGCACCGAAAACATCCGAACATACAGACACAATAATATCATCTAGAATATGCTTCAATTTTTAGTCTTTGAGAATTTCTTATCTTGACAATAATATATTTATTTATTGGCAATAGTATCAGAGGCGTAGCGAGGATGTTTGGCGCCCGGGGACAAGATCCATTCGAAAGTGCCCCTTTTTCTTTTTTTCAACTCTCAAACCATTATTTTCATCAATAAAATAATAACAAAGCACATTTTGGCGACCCTAACTAGCTGGCGCCCGGGGACATCTGCCCCCTGCCCCCCCTCGCTACGCCTCTAAATAGTATAACTTTCAAAAAAAAATATATATTATTGTAGAAATGGTGTGTACTATGGGTGTGGTTGATTGAATACCTCGCATCGTTTTGAATCGTGGAATCGCAAAGTCATAAATTAGCCCCTGAACTCACCAATGGTGACAGTGTGCGACTGTGTCTTTCTCAAAGTTGGTGTCTCGGCGACGCACGTGTACACACCCTCATCTGCCTCGTTGACGCAGTCCAGGTACAGGTTAGATCTGGTGCCGGCCAGCTGGAGCTTACTGGTTCCGCTGACATCATTCAGCTCGTACTGTGGAACGTCGTCCTTGAAGTTTTGGGAGCTGCCCTGTAAGAGGTCAAAGGTCGTGTTTACAAAACGTACCCCTCAATCATTCCAACAGCAACTGACCCCATGATCCATGACCACTTCATTGTGTAGAATCAAAACTATGTTAACCAAATGTTTATAAATGTTGTTGTTGTTTTTTTTGTTTGTTTTTTTTTTTTTAATTTGAAATATTCACTGAAACTCATTCTGAAGTAAGAAATTTGAGCTCGCATAATTCTAAACGAATGGCTCTTAAAGATAAATATCATAACTTAGTATGGGAATTGTTGTGTGAAAAATGCCATTACGATTTCTCGCACATACGATAAGATGCTCTAGGCAAATAAACTGCTTTTAAAATTTTTGTTCATTAAATTTCAATAGGTCGGTTGAAAATAACTCCGAACGTCTGTGACTATTGAGTGCTGAACATGTGTCTCACCTGAAGGATTCTCTTGCCGTTCTTCAACCAGTGTATGGTTGGGTTAGGTGAGCCGATCACCTCACACTCCAGCACAACATCTTCGTATTTGTCCACAACATTTTTGGTGGTGGCAGACTTAAAGGTCAGTTTGTTGACGATCCCTGAGGACAGAAATGTCAATTCCAATGATGAAAAAACTGTTTGCTAAAACGTCTACTTTAAGCAAGTTTTCTTTCTTTTTCTTTCTTTTT